CTAAGCTCTCTCTCAATTCTCTCAAATATTTTTCTCTCACTCGTATTTTTTCCTTTCGCTCACTTATTCGTATGTATTACACGCACACCTTCATACTCAAGACTACTAACATATATATATATATATATATTATATGTAATACACCGCCTTATATGCTTCTACAATATTATTGCCGCCTTAATTTGCTTGTCCCTTGCTGTGGTGAAACTCTTGATTGGTGCTAGTTAATTCCCAAGCTTTTATAACATCAATTTGCTGCCAACACATATTTTTTATGGGACCACCTTAATAATTAAGTAATTCAAGAAAATTTTAGTTTTTGCCTCCTTAATCTTGCTGACATATTCTAGTGGTTTAGTGCACTGCCACATTGCTTTGTTTCTACATTCTTCTTGCTGAGTTTGATTTCTAACATGTAGGAGATTGGACCATTAACCACCGAAAATATTGAGATTCAAACTCACATAAAATGAAACAATATAATCCTTAACTACTAAAATAAATTAATGAATCACGATAATATAACTTTTTTAAGCTATGTTTTTGGAGGCATTATTTTATGTTCTCGGTTTACCACTTTATCTATAATCTTATTAAATTATATACATCAATTTCAGGAAAAAAAATATAGGTAATTATTCTGTTCTTATTTACAAGTAGGAAGAAAAGAAGATTTATCTTAAAAAAATGAGATGAAAAATTGTTATTAATTGAAATCACGAATGACGTAATGAATTAGGTCTATTTAATCATTTTTATTTTGGTAAACTTTTTTTTTTCATTTACTTAATAATAATCCAGTTTTCTTAAAAATTATATAGTAGCCTTTCAAGAGTTGCAGCTGTGAATGCTATACAGTTGTAAGTCCCAATAAAGAAGTACAAATGCCATTAAGAAGATACGTGTCACGATATTAACACAACACAATGATGGGACCAGGCTTCTCCCATTGCCACGCAGATTCCCCCGCCGCCATCCTAGGAGTATTCGCTATTCAGTTTTAACTGAATTAATAAATAGAGTTGAATTCAGTTAATATTTTTTTAATATTTAGTTAAGGATTAGTATGGTTTAAAATCGATTAATTCAATTAATTAAAATTATTAAATATTATATATATTATAAACATATTTTAAGTTCAAATCCATTAAAAAATAATATTCAATTATTTTTTAATCACACTAAACCTATTAAATTATCAATACCTAATTAATTTTTAACTCAAATAAAAAATATACATGTATTACATTTAAATTAATCTAATTAGAAAAATTAATTAATTCAATTAATCGACCGAAATAATCAAATTTTATTTGATTAAGATAATATTTTCAAAATGATAATTCCATCACGTGTTTTACCTCCTCTTTTTACTCGCAAGTGCCATTCCAACACACGAAGATGGTTGCTATGATCACCACCGGCTATAATAGTTGCATATAAAAAAAAGCACGAACCAAATTACTTCGGCTATAAACGAATTGTTGTTATATTTTGAAGTCTTAGATTTTAACATCATAAATATTAGAGGTGTTAGCGTTTAATGTCGAATGATTAAGAGTTATCTTTAAACAAATATTATCTTATATTTACCCATATTAATAAAAAAGAGTTAATTGCATCATATATGTCCCCAAAATATAACTCTCATTTTAATATGATCCTTAAAACTTTTCAATATTCCAATTTCATCCTCAAACTATGATTTTCATTCTAAATTAATCCTTAAAAGTTTTACTATTCTAATTTCATCCTTAAAATATGAACCTCTTTCTAAATTGGTCCCCAAACTTTTGAATATTCCAATTTTATCCCCAAATTTATCAAAAAATGTAATTAGTTTCAACCATGATTTAACCTAAAATTTATTTTTTTCCTAACATATAATAATATAACTTGGTTTGACTATTTTATTAACAAGGGATGTGATCAGTATATGTGTATAGTCTGGGATGAAATTGGAATTTTCAAAAAGTTTGGGGACCAATTTAGAATAAATGTCATAGTTTGTTGACGAACTTAAAATGTTCAAAAATTTGAAGAATAATTTATATTGATAGACATGGTTTAGGGAACAAATTGGAACATTTAAAAGTTTAAGGACCAATTTAGAATGAGGGTCACACTTTAAGGACGTGTGATGCAATTAACTAAAAAATGATTTATTGTTTTTTCGGCTACTTTACTATGTCAAACTTTGAGATTTAATCCTTCTGTTTTAATTTACTATAATTTGATTCTATTATTAGTATATTCACATTAATAACAACATTAATTATTATCAATGTAGTTAAAACGTATCTCTTTTTTTTAAAAAAAATTAAGCATTTAGTTGGATATAATTTTTCATTCATTAAAAGAGATGATTAAATTTTTCATATGAGCTTTGATTATACGTGTGAACAAGGCTGAATAAATAATTTTATGTTTGATAAATGTAACACCCCGGATCTCGGGGTTGGTAGTTCGGGCCGACCCGAGATGTTTAGAAAAGCCCAATTACCTTGTAGGGAAGGGAAGTTAAATCCATTAATATGGTTAATTGGGCCTTGATTTGAGCCCATCTGTGGTCCAAAGAGGATATTTTTAAATTGAAGATGAAAGTTAAGGGATCTAAAGGACAATTAACCCATTGTGCAAATAAAAGTTGAAAATCTTTAAAATTATAAGATGATTTTATGTGACGCCTTACTCACCAAACACTCTTCCTCTTCTCTTCATATTTTCTCTCATATTGTGCCTCTTTAAGATTTGATCAAAGGTGAAAGCTTTAAGAAATTCAAGTCTAGTTGGGTTTAACAAAAGCAAGAATTTTAATCTTCTTTCCAAGAGCATCAATTTAAGTCCCATATTTCAAGTTTTAAGCATAGAATCCAAAAATGGGTTTAGTGGGGGTTTAAGAACCTAGGGGATTCTAGCTTTTTTGGGGGGTATGATGAGATTAAGAAAGTGATTTTAGACTCATAAATGTTCCATAAACAAGTTAGAAACATATTTTTCATATGGCATTAGTGAAAGAAGTAGGAGAAGGTTCCAAAGCTAGAGGAAAGGAGAAATTAGTCCTTGGGTGATTTTGAACTTTTTCAACTACCAAGACTTTAAGGTAACACATTTTCTAACCTCTGTAAACCATTTTGTAGGCCTCCTAGTGCATCAATATTGATTGCATTAAATTTTGGAACATGTGAACATTATTATGGATACTACTCTTCTCCCATAATTGATTTAAGTTGTCAAGTATCAATACTCAAGGGAGAGTATTGATACTGAGAGGATCAATATCGATACCATTGCATATTTCTAAACAATAAATTATGGTAATCTATAGACATTGTTGAGGGACTCAAAACATCATTAAATTCTCCAATAAGACATCAAGTGGGAACAATGCCAGCAATGTGAATTTACACTTAGAAACCCTATAATATATAGGGAATCATAAGAATTACCTTGCGTGATGCTCGGGAAATGAATCAGACACCTGAATCGCTCTAGGAACGAGTGAATGATTTTATGTTAGATTATCTGGCCAACCTCAAGTTAGTGCTCTAGGCAATTCTTCGCTAACTGGGCGTAAATGCCCCAAGGCTCGACGGAGCATGTTAATCGAGTGTGTAGTTCCGAAGTAGATTTTCGGATCCCACCCTAGGTAGGATAGAGGGGTACGTGAGCTCCGAGATATAGCCCCTCAGCCGCACCATAATGGCTACCTCTATATGTATGATTTAGTTTAGCATATTCGTATGTTAATAGATATGTTATTAGCATGAGGATTAAAGGATGCATGTAGTATAGTTTGTTATTAGTGTGGCAGTGAGCTTAGTGTTCGGATTTGTTTCCGTGCGTAGGTTCGTAGGAGGGGCTTTTGTGGAGCCATCGCCTAAACTATCAACCAGACCGCCGCTGGCTTTCGAGTATGTCTCGGATTTATTTTTTGTGGGCATGTATGGTATATAGGCCCTTGTATATTTGAGTCGTAACAATGTAATTTGATATTATTGTAAACTTTTATATAATTATTTTCGGGAGCTCTAGTATTTGAAAACCAAATAGTATGTATTTAACTTATTATTATTATGGATGAAATTTTAAGTGAACGATTATGACGTTTTCAAGAATAAAAACTATTGTTGGTTGGTGGCTTCCTGAGCAGCTGGTAAAAAACAAAGATATGCCAACAAGCTCTCCTGTTGTAACTAAAGACTTTTCTCAATCAACAGACCGCATATAGAAATCCACTTTTCTAGCTAAGAAGGTATGTAGCCAAGTCCCTTTCTCAATGGGAATCAGTCCCCGCGTTCTTACCAGCCGCTAAGGGGCTTTTCTTTCTCTCTTTTTATCTGGTATATTAGGTGGAAGAGTTAAAGACTCAGTTCCTTTGATTCTTATCTGGTCAGCCACTCCAGTAATTTGTGTGATGCCATGATCCGTCGATATGTGGGTCGTACTGGATTAGGACATTACATATACGATGAAATTAAAAAAAAAAAAGTGGAAAAAGTTTGTGCTAAAATAGTTTAAATCAAATTGTTCATTTTTTTATAGGGCCAAAAATAACATTTATCTATTCATTTGACGATTGAAAAAGACTAAATTGAAATTCTTATGTTCAAAAGGGACTAAACTATAATTCCATAATTTAGCTAAGAGGGCCAACTGGCCAATGTCCCCGCGTGATCTCCAACTAGGTCCATATTATACTCCTAAAGAAATAACTTTGATTCATCAGAATGATATTATCCAAAGAGATAAATATAAACCCTGAACATAAACCTGGATATAGACGAATTCAAAATATAAATGTTTACATCTTAAATTTTAAAAAATTGTAACACGCATTAAACGATTTTAGTGGTTAAACTATTTATTGTTATCTCTTGAGATTTTCAGTTCGAACATCACAAATAACAGGAATACAAATGTCCATTAATAAACGATCGAGTATTTTTGAAGAAATTCTACCTCGTATTTACCCTAGATTTATAGAAAATATTACCCTAATTTTTTTCTTCTAAATGTCTCTGATTGTCACTCTCTCTTATCTTTCTTCTGTACAATTGAATTTCACCCCAAACCGATTAGACACATTTTCACATGTTGAAGTTGAACTGTTGCTGTAAGAACAAAAAATCCTCAGCATTCAACAAATTGTCGGAGAGATCACAGCCATTCAACAGGTGCTGATAACTGCTGGTCTGAAAATCCGCGCCGCCACCTCCACGGTGGTCGAAGTAATCAACTTGGCCGCCGGCCTGGATACCATAATCCGGATTAGGGCTGTCATCAAAATGGAAGCCGTCGCTGTAAGTGCAATTAGTTAAGCCCGAAACTTGGGCCTCGATAGAGTCCGACGCCGCCGCTGTGGCGGTGCTCGAATTCTCAGCCTTGCGGTTGTCGGTTTTGGCTGCGGGGGCGGAGGAGGCGGCTTGAATCCTTTCGACTAACCTAGGCATCCACAAATAACGCATGGTGTCCTTGAATTGCTTGCTGTTGACATCGCACTTGAGCTGTTTAGCGTGTTTCTGGACACGTGTTCTCCAGTAGTTCTTGATCTCATTGTCGGTTCTTCCCGGCAAATGTTGGGCGATTTTCGACCACCTGCAACAACAAAAAACATCTGTAAATTGTCTGAAAATATAACCTCGAGAGAATTAAGATTCCAAAACATTTGATTTACCGATTTCCCCAGCGAGAGTGAAGCTCCAGAATCAAGAGCTGTTCTTCGAGAGTGATGTTCCCGCGTCTAATATCTGGGCGTAGATAATTCAACCATCTCAGCCTGCAACTTTTTCCAGTTCTCTTCAGACCTGTAATTTCATACAATTTAAGATTCTTTGGTAAAGTTGTCGCTTTTGGTTTAGAACCCAAATTAAAAAAAAAACACATTCATAATTGAGTTATCTTTATGAAATCATCATCAACCTCATGTCTCGTCACAAATTTTCTAAAATATGCAGCTTTTTCACTTTTGGGTAAATTACATCCTAGGTCATATACTATGCTCAAATGATTTTAGTCACTAGTGTTTTTGAAATTATAAAATGATTGTCGAATTGTTACAAATTATCACTGTAACATTATAATAAGTGTAGCATTTTCATAAATTTAATGATTATTTTGTAATAGTTCTGTAAATTTCAATGATTATTTCATAATAGTTCGATAAAATTAATGATTCATTTTGTAATTTTCAAAAATTCAGTTTTCAAAAATTTTATACTAGGTGATTTTAAGATTCTTAGGATCAATCAAATCAACCCCATGAAAAGGTTTTTCACATATAGGGATGAGCATAAAAAGTACACCCATAAGTTTTGATCTAATTTAATTTTATATAATTATTTTTTTTAAATTATATTTAAATAGGGTTTTTAAAAAGGATAAAGATTAATCGAATTAAAATTTATGACGAAAAATCATTAACATAAGATAATAGTATAATTATTTTTTATATTTAAAAATAATTATAATAATTTCTCTATATATATATGTTAACTCGGATTAGGTGCGAGCTTTTACTCTAAAATTTAAATCGAGTTTCGGGTTTGGAACGAACATCCCTAAACTTAAATCAGATCAGCTAATAAGTGAAATGATAGAATAGTAGAATCAGATTCAGATGAACGAAAAATCAGACTCGACATGTACCCATCCTTACTCGCGTATGAGCAAATCAAACACGGGAAAAAGAAGAAGATGAAATTACCAGCGCAACGAGCAAGGGAGTTCCAGCGACCTTCGCCATGAACAGAAATGTAATTGATGAGCTGAAAGTCTTCTTCAACAGTCCATGGACCTCTAATCAATCCCATTTCTTCTTCTTCTTCTTCAACGAATCCCCTCGCTTTAACATCTTCCATTTGAAAACACGCACAAAACAAATCAAAGTTTTTTTCTTCCTGGTGTTAGAGATGATTTTTGATGGAGAAAAGAGAGTTTTTTTTTATCTATACAGGGAAGATAGACGAGTAGATGGGGGTGCTTTTATAGATGGAGTTTGGTTTGCAAAAATGGTGGGGGGAAAACGGTAATTAAGCCTTTTAGAGAGAGAAAGAGACGAGCAAGGCCGCATAATGCTTAATTGATGGGATAAAACAACGTTTAGTTCATGAACTTGATGTTATTTTCAATTTGATCCCTGTTTTTTTTTTTGTCCATGATAATCTTAAAACTTGGATTCTTGTCATGTTTAACACAACTTCAGAATGTCACTTCGTCGAAATAACTACGACTGAAAATGGAAAAGGTTGTCTAGTTCAAAACTAATGAGAACCGAGAAAATGTTCGAGACTAAATTGAAAAATAAATGTCGAGTCGAGGACTAAAAGTAAGTTTATACCTTGATCAATTACACCCATAAAGCTCGGTAGTAAGCAAATAGCAATAAGGCTTTGAGAGTTTGATACTTTTGACTTTCTTTTGTCTTGTAATAAAGTTTAGTTTATTAGTTCTCCACATGGGAAAGTCTAAAATTGTGTCTATCTTGGTTTGTAATTATGAACGAATTGCAGTTCAAACAGTCAATCCCATTTAGGGTTCGTTCATAAACAGTGGGAATATATTTATTAGGCAAATTAGATAATTATGGATTAGGCTTAGAAACACAACTCAAATAGTAACGTTTCGTTTCATTTCGTTTTGTTCAAACAGTCAATCCCATTTAGGGTTTGTTTTTTTATTGGTCTTCTTCTCGATCTTTTATTTTCCCTGCATACATGGTTGATTGCTTTCCCGATACCTGGTTCCTTTGTTCGCTTGTACAAGACGGTTCGTCGGTTATCGTATATATATGTCTGATGAGATCGATGTTAAGGGGAGATTGCTTTTTCCATTGGCCATTTTGGTCCTTTTTCAAGTTTCTCTCCATGATGCTCGAAGTTGTTGGTGTTTCAGTTTATGTACGTCATTGCTTCAATAGTTAATGGTTTTGTTTATCAGGCTATCTCTAAACGATCATTGTTATATTTTTTTTAATAATCACGACTGTATTTATTTAGTCTGTACTTGGCAAGACGTTTTTTGATACGATTTTCGATTAATGAAATATCGATTATTTAAAAAAATAACAGAAATAATTCAAAAAAAAGATTAAAAAAAACTGAAAAAACTTACGAACCGAGCCGCGCAAAACTAGTAAAATTCAGTTCATTTATCTTTCGTATTCGACCCTATTTTGATTTGAAATCAATCTAAAATGAACTGTTATTGCTCTCACGTGTAGGGTTTAGCAAAATTTGACCCGACTTGTAGAATTGACTTTTTTTTACTCGACTCGAATTGATTACGAGTTATAATTTCATAAATTCCGCTCGACTCAAAAAATTTTAAGTTCAAATCGAGTTGTAAAACACAACTCGAATAACTCAAAATTTTTAGTTTGATTTTCAAGCTTGAGTCTAGTTCATCAACTATGTATGACATATGTATATTACATATAAAGAAATATATATATATATGGTTATAAAAAATCATTTAAATTAGAATTAAATAATATAATAATATTATAAATATTTACAATTAAATTTAAATAGAAACTCAAAAATTCGACTCTGCTTGATTCGAATTTTATAAATTCGACTCGACTAAAAAAATTCAGTCAAATTCGAGTTACAAAGTAGGACTCATTAACTCGAATAACTCGAAATTTTTTTACTCGACTCGATTCGATCGAACGTTCACCCCTATGTATGTGTATATTTATATGAGTAGATAATATAAATTTAAATCCGAAGCATAACTTAATTCATTCTTTGATTAATGTTATTAATGTTGCTAATTGGTAGCTTAGGTGGCTGTAGGGAGTGGGCATGGCTCTATTGTTGTATGGTTTAGTTTAACAATCGATGCGAAATTTTATGTTCGGGATTTGAACTTTTTAAAAGTATATAAGAAATTTAGAAATACGAGATTATAAAACTTTAAGAGGTACAAAATTAAATCATCAAACGAAAATATCAAAAAAACATTTAAAACTTTTATAAAATACGATCATTCCTAACACTCCTCGATCTATTCCTGATTTCGACTCAGAGCCATTCACGTAAATTGCTGATATTTCCACGCAAGTTATAGCAAAGCCAAAACCATTCAGTGGCTAGTAGAAAGTGTTTAGAATTCCTCTAAAATTTATAATATTATAAGTTAAAAATATAGCAAAATTGCATTTTAATCCCTCTAAGATGATAAATTTGCGTTTTAGTGCTTGATGTGCAGTGTGGTGGGGGACCAATTATGAGTGGAATGCATATAATATATATATATATTATACCGAACCACAAAAAGAAAATTCCACACGTTTTCTTTTATTATTTTATGTAAAAACGGATTTTTAGTTGTTTGGTCGGAGGCATATTGTTCTTGTTTTGTTTAAGGATTTTGTTTGGACGGTGCTGTATTCTCATGCTCCAATGAATTTTAAATTGTTTCTTAAACCCTCTTAAAATTTGTTAGTTCAATTTAGTCCTCTTAACATTAAATTTTTTTCACTCTCCTCCCAACCGTTTATATTTTTATTCCGCTCCCAACAACTTGACTTCACCCGTTGTCCACTCACCCAAGTCCTCCTTTGGTAGCCAGCCTATCATCACCCTCCAGCTCGATTCCCCTCGCCTCCGCCCTCTCCCACCACCGTTGTCACCCTATTATTTTTCTTAAGAATCAATGCAATCATTGATAGTTTAGAACATATAATATACGTTCTTAAAACTTTAGGAGAATCCTTTAAAAAGCAAAATAAAACTGACACATATGTTAAAGATTATGTGGAAAAATCAAACCAAGTGAGAAACGTGGATAGATGAGAGAATTTTTCCTAGTGTGAAAAGGGCTTTTTTGTCAATTTTTGAAAAAGAAAGTAGAGGTTCTAGAGAGATTCCTAGAGCTCAAAGTCTTTAATTAATTATATTAAATTGGTTTGATATTATTTAATGTTTTTCAATTACTTAAAATTTTTAAGAAATTCGATGGTGTCAGGGATGGACATGGATCGGGTCGGGTTTTTGGTCCACCCGACCTAGCCCAAGAACAAAGGATCCTCCACTTGAGACTCGACCCGACCGATAAAAACAAAATTTCATTCGACCCGAATTCGACCTGACCCGAAATAATAATAAAAATATTGTTTTTATTCAATAAAAATAATATTTTAATTGAAAAAATTTATATATAGAGGGATATTATTATAATTATTCCTAAATATATAAGATAAAATTATATATTTATTCGGGTCGGGTATTTTTCACCCTAAACCCGAACCCGACCCGACCTGAATCCAAATTTTTTTTAAATAACCAGACCCGATTGGGCCAGATCGGATTGAAACCCGTTGAGTTCGAGTCCCATGCTCATCCTAGGTGTCATATCTCGCACCTTAAATGATAATATTATATATTTTATTAAAATAGTGATATCAACAAGGAAAAAACATGGCACACAAGTTGACAAAAGGGCACAAATTCATTGCCCTTTAAATTCCACCTAATATGGCCTTTCTTATGGGATTTAAACACCACTTTGTTTTTGTCATTTCTTTTTCAAAATCATGGCACCAACCCCAAACCATATCTTCATTTTTGTCATTTACACAGGTCCCTTTTCCTCACACTATTCAAGAAAAAATTACGATAAATTGTTAGATTTTTTTATTTATTGTCGAAGTTTAATATTCACGATTGGGGAAGAATACGAGATTTTATGTTAGGGTTCTAAACCCTTAAAAGGTTATATTGAGAATGTATTAGTATAAAAATAATATGTTCCCAAACCATGATCCTCGTTTTTAAATTGATCCTCATTTTTAAATTGATCCTTAAACTTTTAAACAATTTTCATCCATAAACTATAACTTTCATTCTAAATTGGTCCTAAAAATTCTGAACATTCTAATTTCATCCTCAAACTATGACTCTCATCCTAAATCGGTCCCTAAACTTTTGAATCTTCTAATTTCATCCCCGAATTCACCCAAATATGTAATCAATTTCAACCATAATTTAACCTAAATTTTATTTTTTTTCAAAAATGTAATAATATAACTTGGCCTAACGATTTCATTAACAAGGGATGTGATAAGTATATACGTATAATTATGGATGAAATGGAAATGTTCAAAAAGTTTGGGGACCAATTTAGAAGGAAGAAAATAGTTTGGGGGTGAAAATGAAATGTTCAAAAGTTTGAGGACTAATTTAGAATGACATGCATAGTTTAGGGATGAAATTAGAATATTTAAAAGTTTAAGGATTAATTTAAAATAAATGTTATAATTAAAGGACATATGATACAATTAACTCTGAAAAAAATACACAGGAATAGTGTGTTTAATGCACATTTAACCCTATTAAATAGTATAAAAAGTGAGACCACAATTTTCATGAAGTGATAGACTTAAACCTAAATTTTAGAATTCAATTAATTCAAGAACCTAAAGCAACCATCACTTCACTGAATGGCTGCAAGATTGACAAGCTTAACCCTATCACAGTCAAGCTTTCTTTTCTTTTTATTTCATTTTTCAAACTCAATTCAATTTTAAAAAAATAAAATGAATTTACACTTAAATATTTTACAAAACTTAATCTATGAGCAAAAACAATCAAATTAAAATTTTTAATTGTTAATTAAATCAAAACAATTAATTTTAATAAAAAATATATCAATACCAGATCGAATATTACGATTTAAATCAATTTTTTCGAACCGAGTTTTCGAACTAGCAACCAATGAAAACCATGCATCCATTGTTTTCCATTGCACTGATATTGTCAAAAAGCAAACCAGGGATTTCTGGTGTACAAGGTTGACAATTCTAATGGCATGCCCATGCCTTCATGTTCTTGGACAGGATTAAAATTTTCATTTTCTAAATAATTTAATACATTATATTAA